ATACATTTTGTTTGAAACATTTTGTCACAAATATGGTTAAACAAAATCACAGTATGTAAAAACTGATTTCGCTGGATTACTCTTTCTTTGCGATTATTTGTCAACGGCATTGAAAACAACTCCGTTTTATCAATACCTTTTGTGGCTTCCAGCAGTTTCTTTCCTTTTTAAAAATCTTTCAAATATTTTTAATTTAAAACTATGCGATGAATCCATTTATCTGCTTGATATTTGAAACTTTGGATATTTTACATAAAACATTGTACATAAATGCCAATATAGTCACAAACTGCTTAGATGTTATTTGCTTACTTAATCCGTTAATCATAGTTTGTTCTGTTTTGAATCGCATATTACTTTTGCTAGCATTTTATGATTGCACAATGACGCATAGTTCTGTCATACGTAGAATACAGTTATAAAAGAACTGGCAGCCCAACAAACATAAAATATTCGTTCAATTTTTTAAACTTCATTTTCGATTAAAAAAAAATGCATTTTCTATAACTTTTAAGTTTTTAGTTGATTGACTATAAACAGAATAAAGTTTATTCATAAACGGTTGAAAATGATGAATATCATTTAATTCCGCTATCGCATCTCCTATTGACAACTATAAAAGATGGTTCAAGTAATGCCAAATAAATAAATTAAGATATGTTTCATTCCCACTCCGGATTTTTTCGTAGCATAACACTTGCTCAATGACTTATTTAAATAGTCATCGGTAAATTCATATTTTTTAAGACACTCCAACAGAGCTTTTGTTAAAGCTTATGCAGTTTGATCAGATAGTTTAATCAAATCCAAAACTACATTTTGAAGATCCTCTGATTTATCGGTTTCGCATTTTTAAAATATTATTAAAATGGATGTTTTGCTCAACGTTGTAGATTCACTTTATTGATGATAAGTTGCCGCTAACATTTATAATTTGTTGACAATTTTTTTTTTCATTTGCTTTGCAATATGTTCTATTATATTTGTTGCACTATTCCTTGATTGCAAACCGTGTGCAATATTTGTTCCATTCAGTTTTTGAGGAGGTAAATAATCAAAATGGTCCGAGTAGGATCAATTGTGTTTTGCAATGTAATAAGCTCTACAAAAAACCTTTGCTTTTTGTTATTCCTTTCTTACTCATATTATCAATAAAGCATTCTATTTTTTCTTTATTTACAGATTTAATTATTTTTTTGGCTTGAATATGAACATTATTCACTCTAAAAATATTTTGCACAAAGATATAAATTGCGCGGTTCTTTTCCATAAAACATAGTACTTATTAAGCTCCACTATTTTAAAATTTTAACACCTTGAGTTTTGCAAGGCCCTAAGTTTTTTACTTTTGGTACCAACACGTTAAACACCCTAGTTTTTCAGGTGAACATGTAATCCAACAATAATTAAGTTTCTTCTTATATTTATATCTCAAATAGAGGGCAAATTTAATTTAATGTTTCAGATTTTGCTTCCACAGACATTAATGTTGAAATTGAAGCCAAACATAAAAACATAGTTTTCATTCTCGTTTAAGCTCAAATTTTGAGTTATTAAGTTTATTGTAGGTATAAAAAGGGTTTAAAAAAATTGATCATAATAAAAAATTAAAATTTTTTTATTATGATCAATTTTTAAAAGGGTTTTTTTTAAAAATTGATCATAATAAAAAATTCTTAAAAAATTGATCATAATAAATCATTAATTTTTAAAAGGGTTTAAAAATTATTGATCATAATACTTGATTTGGCTGACACCAAATCAAGTATTATGATCAATAATTTTTTTTTTAATCAAAAAAGCTTTAACAAAGTTTTTTTAAAAAAAAAAACTTGCAAAACTAGTTTAATTTTTAAAGTTAAAAATGGCGTTTAAAATGCATTACTTTTTTTCTTGAATTCTAATAATTTTTTTTTCAAATAAAAGTATACGCTCAATTTAACAAAAGTTTAAAAAAAAAAAGGAATTAATCGTTGAACATGTTCCGTTAAAATCTGTCTCTTTAACTTTGAAAACAATTATCAAAATAATTTCAAAGCAAGTTTCAAAAATAATATTGCAATCGAAAATGTTCTACAAACCACAGATGCAATGGCATAAATCTTTGCGGCATGTGACACTATTTTAGCTCTGGTAATGTCTCCTTGTGAAATAGCAGTATCGACCTTAAGAATAAAAAACGAAATAAAGTATAATTTAATTTATTCTTAAATTTAAAAATTTGTAAAAATATTATCAAGAATATAAAGCTAGTTAATATTTCAAGGCTAACGACACAATGGGGGAGGGTCGAGGGATGTTTGGGGACCGCAGACATTTTTTTTTCAGAAGTTTCTAGATATAGAGGCCTTTTTTTTTAAAATTGATGATTGTGCCTCTTCACTATGAAACCCGCGTTGTTGGCCCTGTAACTACAAATTAAAAAACCTCATTAGATTTGAAAAGCGTCACAGCTCCAAGAGGCCAGAAGCAGAATAAACAAGAAAACAATGCAGCTGCGCCATAATTATTTGGAAGCTTTTCTTCAACAACAGTTGCTCGAAAAGGCTAAAATGATAATATCATATAATCAAATCCGCAAAAAAAAAAATATGTTATTTAGAATTTGATTTTAAATATCTTATTTTATAATAATAAGTTTTTAAAAAACACATAAAAAATTTAAAGCGTTCTATCATCATTTTATCAGACACGGTTTTAAAGTTTTTATAATTTTCAAGATAAAAAATATTAACATCTTTAATTTTTAATTTTTTTATACTTAGTTCAAAAGGAAATGTTAAAATATTTTATATATTCTTTTTAGAAATAAACATTTGATAAAAGTTAACATAGAAATTTGAAAAAAAAAATAAACAAATAATTAAAAAACAAAAAACTAATAAAAGAAAAATAAATTTGTTTAGAGATAGTAATGAATTTTTAAGTACTTAATTTAGGATCAAAAATATTTTGATTTTAAGTTTTTTTATAAAATTTTTAAAAGATTATTAAATTAAATAAAAACTAAAAATTAATGTAATATAAAATGTAATATAAAAAATTGCTTCATGTTTACCAAATCTGCTTTTTTAAAAGCAAACAGTTTGACCATACTTGTTTTAGTTTTTATTATTTTTTATTTAACAACTTATCAAGAGTAGATTAATGCAGGAGGAACTTGTTTCAAAGATCTGTCTCATTTTATACAACCATTATCCTTCAGTCATTTTCTATGTAAAGTTGAATTCAAAAATAGTCACTGTTTATTGAGCTATAAAAGGCAATGAAATCATTGATCAAAGTATTTTCAACATTTCATTAAAAGTGAACTCTAATATGAGATAAAATATAATTGATAAAAGCTTAATAAAAATAGCTAACGTTAACACATTTAAAGTGTGTTAAAACTAGTCCAATATAGCACTTGTTAAACTTTGTTAATCTTAAAGATGCTTGTTTAGAAATTGAAAGTTGAGAGTACCAAAAATAATACCAATGAAAAAGTTGAAATCACCAAAACAAAACCATTTATTAAATTGTAATATTAATTATTGCTGTTTTTAGATATTAATTAAATGTATTCCCAGTTCACTAAAGTTCTAGAAACTTAAATAATGTATTTGCAACTCGCTAAAGTACTAAAAAGCCTAATTGAAATAATTGGCTGTTTTCTTAAACAATATATCCATACTGGCTCATTCATAAATGAAACCAATAGTTTCAACGCCAATATATTCAATATTTTCCAATTAAGTTTAAAGCTGTATGAAGGATGTATGTAAGATGTAAACTTTAATTGTGTTATGTAATCTGTATTAATGTAGCTTTATGAAAGAATGTAATGTAGTTGTATTAATAAATATAATGTAGCTGAAAGAATGAGAGCTGTAAGGAGAAGGCTGTAGTCTGTTGGAATCAAATATAGTTACGTTAAAAGCTTCAAGTATCACAAAAAGTTGCTTCACTAATTTATAATTGGAATAGTTATCATTAGCTTGCATATTTATATTTATAAATTACAAACTATGGTTAAAAAGTTTCAAAAATTTAAACAAATTGTTTCTTAAAACTCTTAAACAAATTTTTTTTTTAAAACAAGAACATTTTGTATTTAAAAAAGCTGATCAAAATTCAATTTGAACTATTTAAACAGTTTAGTAGTTTTAGTAGTGTTGCCAACTCTCTAAAAACATTATTAGTAGTATTGCTAACTCACTAAAACTTTTTTTAGGCATTCAGACACTATTGAAAATGATAGATAACAGATAACAGTTCCATTAAAATATTTGGAAAATTTCTTAAAAGAATCCTTTTTTTTTATTTTTTAAAATTATATCAAACAAAAATATCCAACAATGCAATAAACTTACATTATCAAACTTATTTTAATATTTAATATTAAATTAAATGACAAGTATTTAAAATATTTGAGAAACTACTTGGTTCAACATTTAGCTAGTCATCTCGTTTGTAAAATATAACGAAAATATAAAAAATGATTTAATTTTAATTTAACAAGTTAAAGAACAGAAAAACTTATTTGATAAATACATTTTAAAACATATTTTAAAATGTATTTATCATGTTTGAAGTAAAAAAATCAATTGAAATACTGTCAGATACAAAAATAGTTATTTTAGCAGCCTATAACCTTAATTTTCTGCAAATCAAGTTTCATTTTCTATACAATCATCTTTACTATGCAAAACAATAGAATCATAAATTAGGCTTCTTATATTAGGCTAGAATCATAAATTAGGCTTGCTTGATAGAATCATAAATTAGGCTTTTTATATTAGGCTTGCTTGATTTGCTTAAATCGGGTGATTTTTATAAAGATTAAATTCATTTCTGCAATTTTTAAAATTTGAAAATCTGCATCATAATTTGAACTCAAAAGTTCTTTATGAAGAACAGTTGATTTAAAGCTCAAATATGTTACATACTTTCACTTTTAAGGAGGTTAATTTTTTTTTTTTTTTATTATTTCATTTTGTTTTAACTCTATGTTTTTCCGAACTGAGAAAATTATATATATATATATATATATATATCTATATTAATAAAAAATCAAATATACATGATGAAATTATTATATATATATATGATAAAAGAACCTGGAGTCTATAAATCAACCATGCATTACTTATTGAACAGAAAGGAAAAACTATGCAATAATATAAATACGAAAAATCTTTACAATAAAAATTTGTTCGAAATCAACTCCAGGACCATAGTATCCAAAATACAGTATGAGTTAAAATAATATCTCAAATAATAAAATAACCGAGCAGTCACATCTGGATAACACGGTGTGTCAAACTAATTATTCCTTTCAGATTGAAAACCCTGTTTTCTAAAAACTTGTATTTTTATATAATATTACTAAAAATAACT